CGTCTCGCCACAGCCCGGAGGACGGGCGCGGCCGGACCCGGGAGGGGACGCCAGGCTCCGCCCCGGCTCTCGCCCCCGCTGGCCTGCAGTCGTTTCGCGCGCTCGGCCCATGACGTCAACGCTGCCAAGGCCAATCGGCGCGGCCGGCAGTGGGGAGCCCGCCCAGGACCTCTCCCCTTGACATAATTTATGCAGTTCCGGCCTTCTTTGCATGCGGGGAGGTCGGCTTGTGTCCCGACGTTCTGGTTCCCGGAGGCTCTCCGGGAGCGGCCCCAGCGCCTCGCTTTCCCCAGCAGTGTGCGCCCAGGCTGTCCCGCGACCTCCGGGTCGCCGCACCCTTGGGTACCCACCCTCGCAGGCGCAGCCCCAACACCCAGCCCTACCCGCCGCCCGGGCTCTGTCCAAGGTGCTGCCGGCCGGGGGCCATTCGGGGCTTCCTGGCCAAAGCCTGCGCGCCCCTGCTCCCGGGGACGAGCTCTCCACAGGCCCGACCTCCAGGAGCGCAGCAAGATGCCCAGGCCTCTGCTTCGTGCTTGACGCGCCCGACGCTCTCAGGCGAGGCCCTGCCCTTCGGACCAGGCTTCTCTGAGCTGGGGCTCGGCCCAACTCGCTCCTTATTGCGGCCCACGAGGCGCACCCTCGGCCCCGCCCTGGACAAGTAGGAAACGGAGGGAAAGAAAGAGGCAGGTCGCGCGGGGAGAAAGGTCAACCCGGCGGCCCGCGCCCTGTCCACCGGAGCCAGGCTCAGGAAAGCACTCCTTCTGCATAATCCTGCCCACAACGGGCCACCCCTCCTGCTTCTCTTCCTTCAGGACGCCGCCCACCCATCCGTCCGCCTCGGTTCCCGGTCCTCTGCATTCCAAGCGGCTCCACCAAATCCATTCAGTTCGTGGAACAAACACCCTTCATTTGCATAGACGCACCCAACTCTCAGCTCCAGTGCCTTATTTGCATAGCTCCTGCCCACCGCGTAAGTACTTGCCCAGTCCTGAATCAAAATAGGTCCTTTATTTAAAGTCTGTAGCTGGTCTTTTGACCACTTTTCTTGACCTCTGACCTCTCCCTGAGAGCAGTAGCCCAGGAGCACCCCGAAAGACCCCTGAAACCAGAGACACCCTCCCCACATCAAAGTCCATGGAAGGGTGGGCTGGGTTCCTTGTGCCCTTTGTCTTTAACCATCTGGACCCCAGGGCCATGCCGAGGTCGAAATGTAGCACCAGATGCTTCCCGCCCGACTCTGGCCTCCCAGAGATGACCAGAGGCCGAGCTGCCCGTAAAGGGCCGGGAGGCCGAGGTAGCGTGTGGCACAGCATCTCAGGTGTCCATCCCGCCGGTGGAGACGGACCCCCGAGGTCCAGAGTCAGAGAGCAGAGATGAGCGAGCGCAGAGAGCTCTCGCTGGAGGCGCTCAGGGGCCGGAAGCCTGCGGCTGGATCCTCAGCCTGGGGGTCCCCGGGCGGGCAGGGCAGGGCCACCCCTCGGGGCCGGCGGTACAACACGGCCCAGCTTCTCCCGGGACCCCGGGAAGGCCCCAACGTCAGGGGTCCCTTCCCAGGAGCCAGCAGACAGCTCCTGGAGAGGGAGCAGCCATCAGCTGGACCCTGAGCCCATCCCAGCCTCCAGCATCCCTGGCATCCCACGGCTACTCCCTGTGTGGGCCCAAGGCCTCGCCCCTCAAGACCCCAGGCCCCCCCCCAGCCTCGTACCCCTCTCGGCCTAGACTCCCCGCCAGCGACCCCCCTCCCACAGGCCTGGCCCCAGCGCCTGCACCTTCGGCGCAGCAGTCCCAGCAGCGAGAGAAGCAGCAGCAGCACCGAGACGGCCGTCACCGTGGAGAAGACCCGGGCTGCGGAGACATGGGTGCCGTGAGGACAGGAGGAGGGGCTGCACCCCAAATTCACTCCCGCCTCGCTCGCCCGCCTCACCGCCCATCGCAGCTTCCGGAGGCCCGGGCCGGGGGCTGCAGCTCGCATTGGTCCGGTCGGGGGGCGCGGCGGGGGTCTGTGCCGGGCCCCTAGGGGGCGCCTGCTTCTCGGGGGCGTCC